CCTCCTCCTCCTTCCCCCTCCCCCTCCCCTCCCCTCCCCCTCCTCTCTCTCTCTCTCTCTCTCTCTGTTAATGTATGACACAAGTATACAGGTGCCCACCCACAGAAGCCAGACAAGAATGTCAGACCCCTCAGAGCTATAGTTACAAGCAGTTATGAGCTCCCAGATGCAGATGCTGGGACTGAACTCGGGTCCTGTGGAAGAGCAGCAAGTGCTCTTACCTGCTCAGTCATCTCTCGAACCCCATGTTCCATTTTAGTATCTTCATCTGCTTTCTGCTTCTCCTTTCCTGCCTGTCTTGTTCTGGGTATCCAACTCAGGGTCTCACATATACAGAAAAGCACTTCAACCAATCTACATCCCTGCACCCTTATTTTCTTCATAAGCTATAGAATTTTCTAATTTTTAATAAAGTCCAGCTCATCAGCCCTTTATAGCTTAAGTTATTTGAGTATGAGTTCAGATTTGTCTGCTCATCTCAAGGTTATCAAGATAAATTTCCACGATACAATGTACATGTTACATTGTCTGTTTTTAAGAATGTAGGTGTTAATTTTTTTTTGCGTAGTCTGATGGAGGGGTCAATCTTCAAATGTTTCCTATATGAATACTAGCAGATCCAATGTCATTCATTTAAAAGAGAATCTCAATTGTCCTGTTTGTAATCCAGGTGGTTTGCCGGTATGTCTGTATGTTGTAAACCAGGTGGTTTGCCGGTATGTCTGTATGTTGTAAACCAGGTGGTTTAAAGGCATGTCTGTATGTTGTAAACCAGTTGTTTTATAGGCATATCTGTATGTTGTAAACCAGGTGGTTTACAGGCATGCCTGTGTTCCTGCCTGGATTCTGGATTCCCCTCCCTAGTGCACGTCTTTCCTTACCTCATTGCACTGTACCTCTTCTAGTTCTATGGTAAGTCTTGGTATCTAAGAGTGTAAATTGTCAAATTGTCTGCTTCTGCATTGTTTTCAAAACCATTTTCATTATTCTTGATCCTTTGTGTTTCTTCAAAATGGTTTTAGAATCGAATTTTCCTTTTTTTTGAAAACGTTTAGCATATGGCCCCTTCCATGCCTACAGCATCCTTTGGCAGAGTCTCTGATTCTTTCTGTAAAGTTTCATAGGTCTGTCTATGGGAATCTCACATACATCTGTTTAAGTTTCTTCCTAAGGGTTTGCTGTTTGGAGAGTGTTAGATCATCAAAAAAAAAATGGCTTACATCATATTAAGAGACCAGAATATAAACAAGATTGCTTTTTAAAAAATGTAAAACTCAGTTACAAACAGTGATGTTCCTGAGCCTGTATCCAATGGCTTTGTTAAACTTACTTAGCGGTCCAATTCCATCAGCAAATAATCGGGATTTTCTGCGTGAAGAGCACACTGTCAGCAAACGTGGGCAGGTCATCTCCTCCTCTCATCTTTGGCTCCCTGCCTGGTCACAGAGCCTGGCGTCTGCAGTGCAGGTTCAGGTAGCTCCATAGGTGATCCGTTGTTATCCCACAGACCTTCAGGTAACACTGGAAGTCCAAGTGAGACACTTGTGTGTCTCACCATCTGCTGACAGTCTTCTCACTATGATTGGAAGATGAGTTTCATGAAGGGCTTTTACTTTGCTGGTATGATCATAATATCTCCATTTTCATGTGTAAATTATTAAACTGTAGTCGATGATTTTCAAGTCTCAACCCAACATTTCACCAAAACCTCATTTTTCTTGGAATATTTTATTTTTCTATATTCATGGAATAAATGTCTGAAAACATTT